AAAGTCTAAATGAATCTACAAGTCGTTAAAGTTTGTTGTGTTCTAAATTTGTTCATCACAATGAGTTTCACGTAATTGAACCATGTCATGGGTTCAGGTCTTGTGAGCGGACTTTTGTCAAAGTAACTAGAAAGAGTTACCCCTTTACATCATTGTGGGGCTTCCTCGAACCCTCACATTGCGTAAACATCAATATCCACCGACCTATCCTCATTCCTGATTCCTGATGGTTTTCACAAAGAAACTCTATTAAAATGAGGTAGATTTGATAGAAGGTATCACATTACATCTAATAAATGCAAAAGAAAATGCATATTTAATACATTTATGGGTCAAAATGGGCATTGACTCGACATATATATTTTACAATAAGTGATTCATCATTAATAATTCGAATGAAGGAGAAAAAAGGATGCAACAAAAAGTAAATTGTTGGTCTTAGCATTGCTAAATAGCAAATCAATAATCTTCTAAAGTACGAAAAGAGATGTTTAATTTCTATTTTGACTTATAAATATTGTAGAAGGTGTGTCAGTTATTTCTTAAACTTTACTCCTTAGCAATAAAACAATCGAGACTTGTCTACAAAAATAAAGATATCTCATTTTTTAATACAATGTGATATGTGAGAACTTATCTAAAAATAGAAGGATATTTTTATATCCTTAGCTATCAAAATGCAGGTCATTTAAGCAATTGATTCGTCCGTAACTGTCCATTTAAGGCTTGAGAAAATAACAGCTAAAACAAGTCTAGTTTTTGACATCTTCTTTATTAAGTCTAGTTTACTCATACCAAATTTTAGCTAAATATTCATCCGAGAAGACAGAAACCCTTGAGGTTCTCTGGTCCGTCGACTATGCTAAAACTTACACTTTGAAAATTTCTAATACAAGATTTCTAATGGGGGTACTCTAATATCCTTATTAAGCTAGCATCATCAAAATCTAAATACAATTTATTCCTTACAGCATTTTTTGTTTATTAGAAACTAAAATGTCTTCTACCACTTTTGACAATTTCATGAACTTTAGGTTCAATTCTTGGATGTCTATTACCAATTTTGATAAAATGAGTGGGGGACGTATGACTATCATATGGGATCCCAATTTTGTAGATGGTGTGGTCTTACAAGTGGATAGACAACACATTCATGTGAGATTCACTTGTAAAATTACACAACTACATTTCTATGTCACTTTCATATATGCTTTATACACGGTCATATAAAGAAGGGAATTATGGGAACATATATCCGGGTTAAGCTCAAATATCTTAGCTCCTTGAGTTCTTTTAGGTGATTTCAATTGTGTTGGCTCTCCAAATTAGAGGAGGGGGTTTGCCCCTCCCTCGGCTTATGCAATGAAACACCTAAATGATATGAAAATGGATTCTAGTCTCATAGATGCTCCTTCAACCGGTGAATTCTGATGGGAAAAACAGCCACAAACGGTAACTAATAAAATGCGGAATTAATTTTCATTTGGCTAAACTTTCCCAACTTGAATAAACCTTTGAGGATGCAAACAAATAGGGTGTTATTAATGCAATTAGAACACACACAATACCACTGCTATGCACCAAGATATTGAGCTAAAAACAGTAAGCACACACAACACAAAGACACCGGAATTTTAGTGTGGAAACCCATAAACTAGGGGAAAACCACAAGACCATTTTGGCTGCTTAAATCCACTATCATCATCAAAGGAGCAGCACAAAGTCTTCTCTAGATAATACTAGAGACATACACGATCATCATATCCTTGGAACTAAGCACATCAAGGTGTATGGAATCAAAATAGAGCCAAGATAAGAAAAATATCACCAGAAAAATAGCTATTGTCCAGACCCACGAAACCCAACCTCCGGACCTCAAAACCCGATCACCACCGTCCAGAATGTTGTCTCAGATGCTGTGTAGCTGTTATCTAAAAATCACGACGATCCAACGATTCACTCCCGATTTTGACTTTCACGACATCTAATTTCTGTCTTGCTCTTGTCCTTGTGTTTGAAATAGTAGCTGACCCTTTTTAATTAGAAGCTCCCAAAATAGAAAGTCCAAATAAGACTTTAATGGGCTCAATAGTTAGGTTTTCCTCATGGGTTAAAAAAACAAAGAAAGAACCCAACAAATCTTCCCCTTTTTGACTTATGAGGAAGAGTTCACCATACTGGCGATGGAGCAACATACCTTCAACTTTTCCCTTGCTAGACCCTTTGTCAACATATCGGCACCATTATTATCGGTATGAACTTTATCAAGTTCAAACAGTTTGTCTTCAAGTGCATCTTTAATCCAATGATACCTCACATCAATATGTTTGGTTCGTTTGTGAAACATAGAATTTTTAGCAAGGTGAAAAGTACTTTGATTATCACAAAAAACCATGTAGCATTGTTGCATAAAGCCAGTCTCTTGCATAAATCTTTTGAGCCATAATAGCTCCTTGCACGTTTCTGTTGCAGCCACATACTCAGCCTCGGTGGTGGATAAAACCACACAGATTTGTAGTCTCGATTGCCATGACACAGTTGTTGGATTTCGGGCATAAAAATGCAGCGGAATAAACAAAAAAAAATACTGCCCAAAAGTAAACAATCGGATCTGAGACTCTTACTATAAACGAAATTACAAGATATAAGATGGACTTACATAGATATCAGACAAGGATGTCAACCGGATCTTAAGCAAGGATGTCAGACAGTCCGAGAAAATGATCCCGAGCTCTATCGATATCCACACGCACGTGACTGGATCGGCCACAGGGAACGTGCTAGCATTCTCTTCTTTCTCTCTCTCTAGGTTTTGAGATGTGAATTTTTAACTCTTAAAATTCGTGGGTCTCCTTAGCCCTATTTATAAGAGGAGGAAAGAAGGAGTTTTATAGCTAATAAAACTCTCCTGGAGGCCCTAGCCCAATACCATTCGAAAAACTACTTCGAATTGAGTTAATAAGACTATTTTAATGTTATTAACGAACATTAATGATCCAAATCACTTAGGTGTGTGACCCTGTAGGTTTATATATCATTGTCCAGTGGACTAGAAAATTAATTCAAGCCTCACAAATCATAACTGGCCTCTAGCAAGGCATTATGACTATCCAAAATATATAAATGTCAATTAAATCTGACATAACCTTTTAATGATTAATTTGTGCTAATAATTCTCTTTTGTCAAATGATATCTTAATTGAGACAAGGTTAGGTCGTGTCATCCTTGTTATTCTCAATTAATATTTCTTGATTACAAAGTAAGATTAATCTTGAACAAATGACACCTCATTTGAGCATGGTCATGCTAATTGATCTTACTTGTCAAGGGGCCCAATAGATATCTTTCTCTCGCTATACGAGAGTGACAAAAACTATCTTTGATAATTCACATACCACTACATGGTTCACAATATGTACAATCACCACCTTTATAATTACTCATTTAAAGATAACATTTAATGATGTTAATACATATTAATTCACATGCAAGTAATCATGATTATCTCAAGTATAAGAATATAGCAACTCATCATTATTGAGGACAACACTGATGACATATAACCTAGCAGTGTCCTCAAGTTGGGTCTGTCCAATGAACTTGTTCACTAACAAGCATCTATGTTATTAACTTGATATCTCTATACCCATGACTAGTGGAATATAGCCATTAGTTCATCCACATACTGGTCTATTAATTATTAATGTCCCAAATTAATAATATTAGACCAGGGACAATTAGAATATTATGCTTATTTTAAAGTGTAGCATTCCATAATTAAGTCACGTACTTAATTAGCTACTAAACATAATATTCAGAGACTAAATATTAATAAAGAAAACTCACAATAATAATTGACATAAAATGAGTTTGTGACTTTATTAATTAATGAGCATTTAATATTCATTGATAAATCATAAAGAATGATTGTCCTAGGGCATACTTCCAACAACAGCTCCTCCTGCAAAAGTCATCAAATATCGAGAAGTGGATTTCATGTTATCCTTATTTCCTGCCATATCAGAATCAGTATAACCAACAAGTACTAGCTTCTCATTTCCAAATGTTATACCCAATTTGAAAGTACCACGTAGATATCTGAGAACCCACTTCACTACCTCCCAATGCTTCTTACCTAGATTTGACAGAAAACGACTAACAACACCTACCGCATGAGCAATATCGGGCCGTGTGCACACCATAGCATACATCAAGCTCCCTACGGCTGAGGCATAAGGGACTCTATCCATCTCTTCAATCTTCTTCTCAGAAGATGGACAATCTTTATCTGTCAACCTGAAGTTGGTAATCAGAGAAGAACTAACCTCTTTAGCTTTATCCATGGTAAATCTGCGAAGCACCTTCCCGATGTATTGCTCATGTGACATGTGTAGCTTCTTCAAAGCTCTATCTCGAGTGATCCGAATGCCAAGAATCTATTTTGCAGGCCCCAAGTCTTTTGTTGGTATGAGTAGTACTATTAATCCATTTAAATTAAATCTCAAGTAATACAATCCACCTATAACACCCCGGCCTCGTAGGCCCCGAGGTAGTTACTTCTGACCTCTAGTACTGTCCTCACAAACCGCCACTAGCCTTTTCCACGCACTTTGTCCTCACTCGTGCGCGCCCTGAGAAACTTCCCAGGGGGTCACCCATCCCAAGACTACTCCCGTGCAAGCACAATTAACTTTGGAGTTCTTGGGTGATGAGCTCCCTTAAAAAGAGATGCACCTTGTTGGTATGAGTATTACAATAGGGGAGCAACTTGGGTTAAATTGGATACTTATAAATTCTTAATCAATCCTTGTAATACTTGAGATTTAATTTAAACGGATTAATAGGGGAACAACTTGGGTTAAATTGGATACTTATAAATTCTTAATCAATCCTAATTAAAAAGATTGGTCAAATTAACTTTTCTTAATCAATGGTGTTAAAATTCAATCGCATACTTTGTGATTGGTTTGATGCAAAATGATCGCAACACGTAAAAACATGGTAAAAATTTCCAATAATTAAATTATTTTTCTCATAAGAACATATACATCATTTCTAGTCCGTACAAATTAATTGTGTTAAACTTTAACCACCCAGAAATACTACGTATTAAACACTCATGAAAACACAGATACCGCTGGACACCCAACAATAATGAACAATGAGGTTATACAATCAGAACCATTAATTGTTTTGTGAGAGACTTCACTCAGAGCCCTCCAAGATACTAAGAATGGCCATAAAGAGGTTAATGATATCTAAAAACAGAGAGGATGCTGCAGCGATGTATTCATCATAGCTGAATCGCTTGATCAAATTGTCTGTATCATATATGATGAAACCAGAAAAGACAAGCGCTCCTAAGCACCCGTATATCAACTGTCCAGTGCTCCCCATATGAACAAACACCTGTTCATCATTAAAACAATGCATAACTTGTTACTGATATGATTTTAATATTTTGTTAGTAAACTATAATACTCCTTTTGCATGGAGGTTTTTTATGATGTGTAAGATTTTTATGATGAAAAGTACTCATTTTTCAAAAAGTGCTCATTTTTCAAGTTGTACATGCATTAAATTGATGATGATATGAAAGACAATGTCCTTTTAAGATTTGTCAAAATCATCTAAGGGAGTGTTTTCTTATGGTTTTGTAAATATCAACTTTTGAATACCAATATACTTTTTAATATAGTATCTCATCATCTCATGCACCTGGTGTTAATAATGTAACAAGCTCGAACAATATTGTAAATATAAGGTTTTCAATCTTATGGTGTAAAAACAAAGTAATCTAACGACTAATATAAGAAAAGTGATTGGTTCTTTTTTATACGGAGTATTATTCAAAGATTTTCACAAACTTAATCATTTGTTTAATCACAAAGCTAAAACACATGATTTTTGAAATGCTAAATTGATTTTTCAGGATGTTGGGCACAAAACATAGAAGGACTTGATGCATTTTTAAATTATAGGGGACTAATATATGCACAAAAGTTATATATCATGATGGGATTTGACGCATTGAACAAATTAGACACATTACTTTAATAACATGTTATTATGTTACTATACACAATTAATTAATAATTGATATAATTGATATTATAAAAAATTAAAAGGCATGAATTACATCTCAAAATGTGTAATTAATGAGAGAACAAAAATTTGAATTCATCTAAAAATTAATGCATTAATTCATTGGATGTGTAATTTGAACAATGCTCATGATGAGAATATGCATTTTTCGGTTAGTAGGTGTTGTCAAAACCAAGCCATGCATACATATATCCACTCAAATGCATGGCACAACATATATAGTAGGGGTCTAAACAGGGTCGTCTGAATTTGGAGACCCCAGTTCAAAATGGAAAATTGAGTCCCTAAAACAACAAAATTACAAATTTGAACAATGAAATTCATAAAGACTAGACAGTTCAATGAAATATAAGTTTTATGATGTTTAAAATGCACAAATTAGAAAATCTAAATATTAATTATATACCTTTTGAAATCTTGAATAATGCATAATATCTATAAAAATAAACTTATACTACGTGACTAATATTACATTCTAAATTTTTGGAGGCCCCCTACATGAGTGGGTCGCGGTGTCAGACACCTATTGCACCTCCTAAAAGACGACCATGGTCCTCTAAATCTCCACTAATTAATTATGGACAAAAAGAAACAATTCCAATTCCAATAATAACCAAATGCATACATACCCTGATAAAACCAAAGACTATAAGCACCATGAGAGCGCAGATCAAGAAAGGAGCCAGAAACGAGAAATCAGAGCCTCTCTTTGCAGCCCAGAATGTGTACAGCGTAAGCGCGACGAATACAAGTGCAGTCGCACCAGCAGCTATCATGATAGGCATTCCTATACATATACGGTAGATTTATAAATTAAAATTTTCAAATTAGCATGAAATTAACCCTATATATATATTAATTACTAGTTACACTACAATAGTACAATGGGTAGACGAATATCAAGAAAAATTGCTATTACTCATCAGTACCTTTTTTATATGTGCAAACCACTCCAATCATCAAAGCCATGGCCAGAGTAAAGAGCCCCAAAAGAACATAATTCCATGGATGTTTCTGGCTGCAGAATCCCATTGCTATGCTAACTGTCGGAAGTGCAAAAAAGTCATTTTTTGTATAAGTAACGATTTCAAAGTCATTCCTGATTATGAATATTGCTTAACTAACTTGGACTATAAAAATATACCAAGAGTCATTTCAAAGTCATAATTATATAAGTAACGAAGTAAATTAAGAACAATAAACCATATGAATTCATTGGGAAATCTGTAAACCATGAAGCAATTGAACAAAAGGGAAACCAAATTCAGGGAAATCATATTGTGAAACTAATGAAAGGGGAAAAGGGGAAACACTAAAGGGGCAACAACATTGTAAAAGAAAACGAATGCATTGAGCAAAAATTACTCACGTATGAAGGTGAGAACGACCAAGACAATGAGGGCGATCAACCCATTGGTGGTAGCCATGAATGTCTTGACGGCGGGGGTGAAGAACATGGCGACGGATACGGCCGTGCAGATGAGCAATTGGGTGAAAACAATGGCGTACACCTTGCGAATGAACGCCCAACGCATCTGCGGGTTCTCCATCATCCCAGGGTACAACCCGCCGCCGCCATGCTTCACTCCGGCCTCAATGTCACTTCCCCGATCGGCGAAACCCGGCATCATCGTTAATTTCTGGATTTTCTATGGCTTCTCTGTTTCTGCGTGTATCTAATTTAGGAATAGTTATTGCCCGTCGTATATATCAACCCCTGGATAGAGCGTGGGGTGATATATGCATGCACCGCCGCAGGTGGGTTGCTTCGGCCGGGTTGTGGTACGATGGAGAGGAGGAAGAATTGAAGGAGAATGGAAATTTCTTTAAAAAAATCCTGCGGTTTGAAGGAAGGGAGTATCTGTGATGCGCGATTGCGACGTTTTCCGAGGAAATCGGAACGCAGCATACTGCGCTTATTGTTTAACCACCGTCTCAATTTATTGTAGAATTTTCCTTTATTATGGGTCTTTCTCGAGTATCACATTTTTTTGCATTGCGTAATCTGATTTGAGACGAAGAAAATGTGCGGTAAGAAAAGTGAGTTTAGATATTAAGAAGAAAAGAGAAAATGTGTGATTGTTAAGAAAAAATGAGTTCATTATATTCAATTAATAAAATACGAATAAAGTAAGAATGATTTAAAATCATATAGATTTTATCAAATTTGATATGGAAAAAGATCGAAAAAAAGTTCATGTACTATACACCTGGTTGTACATTACAACCAGGTTTTCTTTAATTTGTTTCATGTTTAAGTCTATTTCATACTTTAAGCTCCCAAATCGGTTTTAATGGATCATATGAATGTAGGCTTGCTTCACCCCTAAGTTCCCAGCTCTCATTCTTTATTTCATTTTCTTTTATATTTATATTGTTAAGTCTTGCTCCCTTTGTTCATTATAATTTTGTCAACTTTTCTTTTTTGGATGTCTCATTAACTTTGTTACTTTCTCTTTTAAGTAAAGAATTTACGATTTCAGTTAATTCTCTCTCCTCTGCACAAAACTCAACCACACAGTTTTTACTTTATTAATTTACGTGTCAGTCAAACTTGGCAAAGTTATTAGAGACGGGGGGAGTAATTGATAAGAGTATTTAAAATTGATTCTTGTGAACTAAAAAACAAATTAGATGACTATTATTAGAATAAAAAGCAGACATCTTCCTCTTCATTGTAGTTTTTTTAATTGATTTATTACCAATTGTTCGGAAAAATTACAAAGTGAGTTTTAGCCTCTTTAGTGATTGAATATTGACTAACCGATGCACTTGTATAATACGAAGTATGTTGATATATGTATAATTAGTTTTTCTTGAAAATTATTGTGACTATATTCTCTAACTCTTCTAATTTTATATTTGAGTTTGATGTTTAAAGAACAAGTAAAATGGTTGGAATATGCTTTCCAACAATTTTATGATAGATCACAAAATATAGCCAAATTTATCAACTTGAATGGTAGTATATGTTGGGATAATGGGCCGGTCCAAGATTACCGGCCCGTTGCACCCGAGCTTTGCCTCGACCAAGCTCAGAACACAGTCCGGCTAGCTATTATTGGTCCGGATTATTTAATTACTTATCGGGTTGGTTGACTCATTAGCGTCAGTATTAGTTGATAAATCGGGCCAAGCCCATGAACACTTAATTGGTGGGCATGTTGTATATACGCCTATAAATAGGCCACCAACCCCTGTATTCACCTAAGTTGTTTTTAATATAGTGAAATGCTGTCAATTTCTCTACCCAGGATATTTCTACCAACATTAGTGCTTTCATTTAGAGTCATCTCTCACGAGGTGGAAATTTGGGAGAAATCAAGGGACATTTTTCAAGAGAAAATGAAAAAATTGATCACAACTTAACAGAAAACCACAGGTTTGGATTTAAAATTTTCAGATCTGAAAAATAAGAACTAAAAGCAATAAACAGTCTATGGCATCAATGCAGCCACCAAGACTGAACCAGCTGGGTGTACCCAAGCAGCAAACACTGAAGCGGACGAACGGAGTACCCCAAGCAGCTGTCGCCCCTCTTGCCCCCCCACCCACCCACCCCCCACCAGAACCGACCATGATTCGCACACCGCCTTTCCATGCCTTAGGCGCAACTGTAACACCCCCAAATTTCCCACCCAAAATAATGATATACTACGTATTTAAAAGAAATTCTTTATTTATTCATCATAGTGTTGAAGAAATACAACGAAAGTTTAAAAGGGAAATGAGTGTTACCGCCACAACCGGTCATCTCTCAACCGAATGCACATGCAACCAAAACACAATAATAAAACTAATGTAATAATAAATAAATGTTAATTTCAAGACTAAATTTGATTAAGGCATCTTCTAATTCGCTCTCAAGCTCGAGCAATCCATCAATCAACATAGGCATCCAACTCCTGACCTGTTAAAATTTAAGGGAGGAAAGAGGGACAAGGGAAATAACAAAAATTAGCTTTGGAGCTAAGTAAGTACTACCCAACCCCGTAAAATAATCAAGTTTGGCAAAAATAGTTTTTCATATAATACTATATAAAAAGAACTCTCCACCAAAATTCTCTTCTTCTTTGATTATCTCAAAAATCACTTCTTTTCTAATTTCCTAGTAATTTAGAAGGGTGGTGCTCAACCTTTCGACTGAGCCCGGTGGACCGTGGCTACGGACGGCCACCCCGAACAAGCGCCGGTACCACAACTGCTCTTGCGGAAACGAAACGACTACCTTAAGTGTGCACACCCCCTAAAAGGGATTCCAAGCCCTTCGACTAGTAAGTCGTCACGAGTAATCGGGACTGAGCCTACCAACTACCCCACCTTTAAATTTTTTTAATGATTAGGGACTACTACCTTATCTTCTTCTTAAAAGGGATCATAGATCCAAATGTCACTTGAAACTCAAACTGTACTTCTTAGTAGTAGTCGCTCTAATCACCCTCCACATTTATCTGGATGTGGAAAACCGACATCACAGATTTCTCCCATGGTGCTCACTTCTTATTAAATCCTTTCTTTTATCTTGACTTAATATATTTCAAAATATTCCTTAATTTCTCAAACTGCCTCGAAAATATTTAAATAAAATATTTAATACCCAAAAGCACTTAGTTTCACTTTTCAAATATCAGAGATCGAACAATCTCAAAATCACATGCATATACATCATAACTTTCATTAAAATCACGTACCACATAATACATATATAATAATATGAGGAAACGATTTTGGATTGGCAGAGAAACTTACCTCGATTCACGATAAATCATAACCGAAGCTTCTACCTTGACCTTCTTCAGATTCACCTTCTAGAATATTAAATTTCTAGAATTAGCACTTTATTCTATTTTTGCTATTTTACCCCATTTCTCTATTGGTTAAGTATTTGACTTATAAGGTTGAGATTAATTGGCTCACTTAATATTACTCAAAAGTCCAATTTAATTTAATGTATCCACTTTAATCAAATCCCTTAATTCAGTTTAGTTAAGCTGCCAAATTAGATTTTATCTATTCATTTACTTCTATAATACTCCGTATATTTTATGTCCGGTCCAAAGGGTGAATCTATAACAGTCCATTAATGAAATAACTTGGCCCAAACAAGAATTCAGCCGAGCCCATCAAAAATTAAAACAAGAGTGTAGGCAGCTTACGTTCGTCTTCCTTAGGGATGACAATTTAACCCGATCCGATGGATATCCACACCGAACCGAACCGGTCAAAATGGGGAAAACCGCTTTGACTGGGTAACGGGTACGGGGCGGGGAATACCCGATTTATGTAAACGGGTAATGGGGCAGTTATGGGTTTATACCTACCCGCCCCATTACCCGCCCCGTTACCCGCCCCGTTACCCGACCCGCACAATTAACTTACATATTTTAATAGTTTATGTATTTATTATTTAATATATTAAGTATATATGAATAGTAGTACATTAGTAAAAAAAGAATAGTAGTACATTAGTATAATTCCCTCTATTTTTTGAAAAATATTCAACTAATCGGCTATCCTTGCCAATTCTGAGGAGTTGGTGCTCAAAATTCACTATTTTAGATTTTTAATTTTCAATTTCATTCATCATCCATTACTACAAGAATGACATACCACGTCATGCATTTCACGTCGGTTTTTAGACAACCGTCGTTATAACGTATTTAAGTACTATTCTACGTCGGTTTTTGTAAAAACCGCTGTTGCACGTATTTTCCCGAAAAAATATTTAATCCTTTAATGGCGGTTTTTTTATTAACGGCCTTAATAGGTTGGTCGGGTTTCACCTATAAGGTCGGTTTTTAGAAAGTGCCCTTAAAAATGTGTTTGATATCCGCGCTGGGATACTTTTCAATTAAAAAACCTACTGCGGAATTAAAAAAAAGAAAGCATAATAGACGCACACCCTCCTAAATTTGTCGACCTGCGCATATCTTCTTCTCTTGCTTTGCAAAACCTACGCCATCCAAGGTACGTACGCTACTTTCTCTCTTCAACTTGTCGATATGATGTCCTCCTCCTATAATTAGTTTTCTTTCTACACGAATCACCCAAGGTTGGAGGATAAAGCATCCCCATCATCAACAAAACTACGCCTCCGCCGCTGCGCACAAGATACATCTCGCGCCTGGAAGAAGAGTCAGGGGAGGCCGGGTCATTAGACGCACCCAATACTTGGCAGGGAACGGGACCGTGATTTCGATTTATCATAGATGCGAACCGAGCTACCCCTACTTAGAGTGGGAAGATTGAGGTTGTAAATTGTGATATCATGAGAGTCCATGTACTCTGGTGCACCAACTCAATGATTTCTTCATCTGCGGTATGTTTTCCGTTCCTATTATTGTGTAATTCAACTCCTTGAATACTATTAATTGTATATTAAGAATAACTTTTTTCGAAATTTAGGGGTTTTATGTTAATTTAGGGGCAAATCAGATATACGTACCATCCTAATTGTAAATACGCCCTGCTGCCTGCTGCCCTACCCTTTCTCGTCCTTCTCGGAAATCGGAATCTCGTCTAATGGCTTCTCAGTCCAGGTGTCCAGCTCGGCAGATCCAACACAGTACTACCGCAGCAATCAAGCTTGAGGTACTGATCTAGACTCCAGTCCTCCCCTGCGGCCATCCCTGAATTGTTTTAGAGTTATATACCTTTTCTTTTAATGATTAATATGATTATTTGATTAGTTTATTAATTGATATTTATTTGTTTAATGTTAATATGATTAGTTCATATTCTTAATAGTTGATTGTTATAATTGTTGGTGTTATAACAAATAGTCATGATTTCGGCTACTACCAGGCCCCTCTCTTTGGGTGATTGCCGACCAGGTCTTGGGCGAGGTTTCAAGAAGGAAAATAAGTGAATAAGTCTATCCTTGATAAAGATAATGGTCATTTGATGACTCTAATTTCCAGTGTGA